CACACATACACACTTTCATGCACATATGCACACACAGCGCTACAATTACTAGAATTCATGTTAATAAATTTTCCAGTTAATCGATCAAACCGCAAATTGTATAATAATAATCGATAGGCAAATACACTTGCAGAATTTACAAGCGAAAAAAAACACACACATGCATACATACATATGTATGTGTACATATGTATAACAGTAAGCGGGAACGACAAGACGTCTGACGTAGCAGCGCCGCCTGCAGCAACTAACGCGTCGCTTTGGGCTCTTTTGATTGGCGCACTTTTGGGGGCCTGCCTGTTAAGTTTTTACATACACATGCACAGATTTTTAGTGTGTGTGACCGGCCGACTGACCGACGAACTGACTGACGCAACTGGCGTCTGCTTGGCTGGTCGCGTAGTAAACAGAAGCGGCCTCCAACAAGGTCATAAAAATGCATTTGATTTGCGCCGCTCGTTGAGTCACACTAAATATTCATTTACACACGCTGTGTATCCCCTTCGCACACACAAACAGCCAGGCACCCACACAGGCCAATTGAGACGACAATTAGAGCTGCATTCATACGAAATATTGCAATATCACTGAAAAGCTATAAAACAAGCAGCGAGGAGGCAAAGATAGAGCAGGAGGGGGAAAACAGGCCGGAAGACAAGACAGCTGGCTCAGCAGGTATGACAAATGGCAATACCGAAATAGATTAACAAAGCAGCGCAGAGAGACAGAGAGTGAGAGAGACCGCGCACAGGGAAAGGGAACAGAAAAATATGAATAAAAACTGAATGTGAGCAAGGCACAGCATCTGCTAATAGCCTGCTAATGAGCATAACTAAAGCTTGGGAATTAGTTGTAGTTGTTGTTGTTATTGTTGCTGATCAGAGCGACAATGCTGAGAGGATATGCAGTTAATTTAGCTTGGGCTATGTGTCCTAACTGTGCTACATTTTCAGAGCGAAGAGAGTTTTAAATAGCTGTTATTCATTTCAATGAACACAAGGAGCACTCGCCAACTCAAAACACAAAAAGAGAAGATTACAGTTAAGCTACACTTATATTTAGAAGCGACTAATAAGAATATCTTGAAGATGGAAACATTCCGATTGGAATTATATACAATAAATGGGAAATATACATTACATACAATCCAAGCAAGGGAATTCAAAGACAAACAAAGATAGAAACTGGGACAAATTATGGGATAAAAAATGTGCAAATACTAAGAACAAACCAGAGTGAAGAAAATTTAAAATAAATAATATGCTTAAATCTGAAAACATATAAAGAAAAGTTTTGATTGCGTTCCACTTACCGTCATATTATGCTCAACGATCTTCTCGCTGCTGCAGATCATGTAGACCAAATAGGCACGCGCCAGCTCCCATGTTGTTTTGCTCTTAAATGCCGCAATTGGATCGTTAAAGCTGACGTCGAGCGGGTCACGCTGTGGCTTGACGCCCTCCTCCTTTGATTGGACGTGCTGCGTCCTATCGGCAACTGACACCTGCGCCTGCTTGTCCTGCGCGGCCGAGTGCAGGCAGCGAACGTCGCTCAGGATAGGATTCTGCCAGCGCAGCACTGCATTTTTGCTGCCGTTGGAGTTGACGTTGGCGCCGGCGCATATCGTATGTAAACTTCTTTTCTGACTAAATTTACCGTGGTTGTTCTTGTTCTTGTTGTTGCTACTATAAAATTCGGTTACACTCCCCAAAAGACCATTACGGCTGCCGCTACAGACGCTGCCAGCGTTGCGGCAATAGTACGCGAGCTGAATTGTTGTACGTGAGGGGTTGAGGGAACGAAGTTGCGCCATTACAGAGCGAATTGGTTGCCTTTGGTCTCTTAAGCTGATGTGTTACAACTCCTTGTGTAGATGCGACAGATAGTGATGGGTTGACTAAAGAGAGCAAACGAGTTGGGCAATCGCTGCTCTTCGTAGTTTTTTTTTTTTTTTTTTCGCCTTGATTTTTAGTACACTTTATGCCAATTTGAACTCACGTTTCGCTAATCTTACTCTTGATGCTGCCGCTACTGCTGCGTCTGCATCGGTTTCTCAGCTGATTTTGAATTTGTTGTTTTACTTGCGTTTGCGTTTGCCTCTGCCTTTACCTTAGCGTGCGCAATACTTTCTGTTGATTTGGAGCTTTCTTCCTCTCTGTAAGAAGCTGTCCATTATATGTTATACAATAATTGCAAAAAAAAAAAAAGGGAAGAAACAGCAATAGAGAGCGCACGTTAGAGAACGGGAAGAGAAAGAGAGAGAGAGAGAGAAAACGGTTAGAGCGAAAACAAAACACATATGTATGTATAAATTTGACATAGCTATTGCTCACACAGGCAAACAGGCGTACACACACACACACGCACGCACGCCGCACACGAAAACTTAACAATGTGCACAAAATTAAATTAAAAATTTTAAATTTTAGTTGTTCAGCTTCTATTTGAATTACTGACGTTATGTCGTTTTCCCGTTGGGTACCTGCCTTATTAATTTTTATTTTATTTTCCCGTGTTGCTCTGATTCTATTTTTTTTTTTTCTTTCTTTCTTCTTCGCTCTTCTGCTCCACACTATTTACGAATGAACGTTCGTCCACGGCAAAAGCACAATTCCGACTGTCAAGACGGCAACGGCGAAATTGCTACCGAAGGCGCAACGACCCGAACTACCCAATGCACGAGCGTAGCCACACGAGTTTGCCGACAGGCCAGCAGGCACTCAGGGAGTCAGACAGTCCGGCAGTCAGGCAGAGCGGCCATTCATCCTGCGCTCGCTTACATAATAGTTGCGCCCACGCTGAACTTTGTTCTGTTATGTGACGTCACATTGGCTCTGCTGCCGAATCACGGCGAAAGAGGCCAATGGAGGGCGGCAACTTTGATTGGGGGCCTTGATTTTGTATTGCTTATATTTGTCTGGCCGCTCTTTAATTTAAATTAAAATGCGACACAAGTGTTGACTACGACAATGACAAATGCCAAGCACTAATTGGTGTTAATTAAAAAACGTGCAGGCAAACCCTACCGACCCCTGTCCACCCCCTACAAACAATATAAATACGACGCCTCTCGCTCTCGGAGCAACACAAGCAGGGTAGCGGCCGCGACCGCGGCGAATATGTGATTGCTTTTAATTTATTAGCGTTACGCTAAACGCACACCAGACGAGACGAGACGAGACGCATTCGCTGCAGTCATCGCAATCAAATAATATCAAACTTAGCGGGCTTCAATCTGCGCACACAGATTTCATTTTACTTAATAATTGTGAGATGAGAGCAACAGCAGTGTAAAAGAGAGGTAATGTGAGGTGAATAAAGCAAGCAAGAAATGCGGCGACAATTGGGAAAAAGTGCAAAATCATCAACAAAAAAACATTTTTTTGAGTAACTAGAATTGCTTTCTATGCCGTCTATCTCACTCTTGCAAGCACTCGCAATACTTTCATGGATACGGTTATATAACCATTGCGTGCGCTACTCTACCGCACACGGACATAGATCCTTATATGACGCATTTATAAATATGTATGTGTATGTATGTATATTTATATACACACCCACACAATATTGGTAGCAACAATTCGCCCGTTGTCTATTTCGCCGCTTTTTCAATTTCTCTATTTATTTATATTTATCTGCATATTTATGCCATTTGGATGCTCTATTTTCTATTTTGTATATAGTATGTGTGCATTTGCTCAAACAGCATTTCTAAGAACATAGCTACATGTGTGTTCATACATATAATGGATTTTTATGTACATATAATTTCATGTATTTATATATCAAGCACAGTTTCTGTAGCAACTTTTAGAATTCCGATAACTATAGTTTTGGGTAAGAGCGTCAAAAATGTTAAGGGCACAGAACGATTAAAAAAAACCAGTGGACCACACAAAGCTGAATTGAGCTCATACCTTAGAAAAAAAAAACAAAATTCAACAATATTTTGTTCTTATTGGTTTGTATAGTTATTCGTCGTGTTGCTGTTGCACGTTTGCGTGTTTCATATGCAACGGTAACAACTGTGAGGGTCTAAATACGCGCACCAACTAAATTAAGGCCAACATTGAAGCGAAACTGCTAGCGAAAGCTCACGCGAAGCTTGCGAATGAGTCAAAACCGATACCGAAACCGAGACCGCGTGTAGAGCAGTCGCAGCGAATGTGTGAGCTACGGCAGCAATGGCGGCATTGTCAGCTGTTTGTTGTTTTTGCTATCGATGCTAATGTTATTGCTGCCTTCAACTTGCTATATTTGCCATGCACGTGAGTGCTAGCTAAGTGCACGTAAATCACGCGCTCGCCATTTTACTTGTTACTTAAACACAATCCTCGCATATTTCAACCAATTGAAATTCAGTCGCTTATCTACGCAGTAGATGGTTGGCTGTGGGCACAGAGCCTTATCTTTCATATGCACACACACACAAACGAACACACATAAACCAAATACGCAGCTCCATCTAGTTGCTTACTGTTGTTTGTTGTTGCTTGTATGCTCTACGCAACAGAGTTATTGGTAATGGCTATGAAGTGGTTCATTTGACTCACTCAGCAGGGGAGAGCGATAAGTGTATTCAGAAGAACGAACGAGCCGAGCAAACGATAAGTGCATTCAAGTGAGAATTGAACCTCTGAACCACAATGTACAGCACTTCAAACGAACCACAATGTGCAGCACTTTCGAGGCATAGCGCGAATTGATAATGCGATAAATATCGATACATACGACATTTAAATTGAAATTACAAATTCAAGCTTTTTTATGAATATATATATATTATGTATATGTATACGTGTTGCATTATGTTTCCGCTTTCACAATAATAGATAATAAATTATATCTACTAGTTGTATTAGAAATAATAATATTAATTAACAGTTATTTTAGCGCAAAAAATGTGCAAATATATATATATATATGTATATATACTATTGATTTCCTTTTTTTTGTTGTTGCTGTATCAGAAAACAAAACTTAACAAATCGAGCAACTTAACAAATCAAATGAAAAATATATTCAACTCTATTCAAACTATGCGACGAATAACAAAACAGAACATAATTGTAAAAAAAAAATAAACAAATATTTGATCTACATCATTTTTGCGCTCTGCATTTAGCTTTAACATGTTGCGTGCCTAGATAATGGTGTGTGTATGTATATGTGTGAGTGTGTGTGTTTACATAATATTATTGACTAAATTGTAGATCAACGAATGTCTATTTACTCTCTTCTAATTCTCCACATTCTTTCAAATTACAGCTACAGGCACGTATTTATCATCATTATCATTATCATTATCATTATCATTATCATTATTATAATCAAAGCAAATAAAACAATAACAGTCACTATATATATTTATATACAGCAGTTGACATCTAACCAGAAACGTGCTATTTGTTTCATTCACATATTTGAAATATGTTTATATCATTATAGAAATGTGTATTACTCCACAATTGATAATATCTTATATTACATTGATTGATGTGTGGAGTATATTTATACAACGTTTATATATTATAATATATTACATTATTACATTTTTCTCTTTTTATTTTTTGATTTTTGTATGTTTTCAGCTTGAAGCTAACAACTATTCTTTTATAATTGATTTAATTAATTATTAGAATTTTATTATATTTACTTCAAATATGATTTTTTACGTTTTTGATTATCTAGTTTTTGTTTCCATTTTAGCGTACTTCCATGACTAAAAAATATTCTGTTCGCAGTGATGAAATCAGCTAAAATAGAAGCAGAATTTTAAATATTACTTTAAAACTTCAAGTCTGCAGTGAATGTCAAACTGTGCTTTGAAGTAATGCGAATTATTGAACATATTTGACGTGTTCATAAGTCGATTGCATATATAAATGTACATATTTATGCCGTTATTAACTCTTTAGCAACAACTCTGATCTGTTTTTTAAAGTTGCATCTAAAATGTTTAAATTTTATGCAAAATAAAACCATTTAAGTTGTTGTATCTAATTAGTTGTCAATGGCCGTATGTATAACTATACATAAGTACAGTCACAACAAAATGTCTTCTGCTGCGACCTGATTTAACAGTTAAGAGGTTGCTGTCCTTACAGCAACAGTTGCTGCTGTTGCAGTAGATGTTGCTGCTACAATTGATGCATATGCAATAGCTATTGCTGTTGTTGTTGTTGTTGTTGCTGCTACATCTGTTGCTCTGCTTCTACAGTCGTTGCTGCTGCTAGTTGGTTTTGGTCAGCTCTGTGCGATGGGCGGCCACTTCGGCCAGGATGAGTAGATCTGAGGTAGTGGTCACATCGTAGCCGATCTGCTCGTAAGCAGAAAGTGTTGACGACGAAGACGAGGACAGTGGCGAGGCGGCAACAGTTGCTGTTGCTGCTGTTGCAACAGTTGGTATTGCTGATGACACAGTTGCCGCTGCAGTTGTTGTTGCGGGCTGGGCGCGCGTTTCATTAAAGTAATAACAGCCATTAATGGTCAGCGGCAATATGGAGGCTACCTCCTGCTCGATAGCGCTGACATCGCGACGCGTAATGCTCTCCTTGCGAGCCTTTCTCTTCTGGCTGCCCACAGCGGCAGCAGCAGCTGCTGTTGTTGCCGCCGTCATGCCAACTGTTGCAGCTACAACTGTTGCTGTTCCTCCTGTTGCAGTGCCAGCTGCTGTTGCTGTTGCTGGTGTGCTGTTGCTGTGGTTGCTGCTGCTGTTGCTGTTGCTGTTGCGCTGTTTTTTGCTGCTGCTGAATTTCTTCTTCTTTTTGGTGCTTCTCTTGCGCTGCAAATACGCATCCAGACTAAGAGCTGGCAACTCCTTGATCTTCTCCTCTAAATCAAACTCTTGGGCATCGCAATTGCCGTGCCTGTTGGACGTGCCACGCATTGTTCCATCCAGCTGCAACAGTTGGCCATCAGCTGTTGTTGCTGTTGATGCAGCTATTGGCGAAATGGGCGGCGTATTGCTGTTGCCATCGGTGATGCTGTTGCTATTGCTGTTACTGTTGCTATTGTTGCTGCCGCCGCTGTTCAGACGGCATTTGCTCTTCTTGGCTATGGCCGCCAGTTGGCCCGAATTGAATAGCTCCTGATAGATTTTGCCCTTGCAACTGCGTGACGTTTTCAGCTTCTTGGAGGTTGTGCATGCGCTTCGATCCTCTTCCTCGCTCGAATTGCTCGCGCTATCCGCTGAGCGTTTATTGTTAATATTATTGTTATTGTTGTTGTTGTTGTTGCCGGGCATATGCGCGCTCATGAATTGCGTCGTCTCGCTGAGCGCCTGCTGCAGCGCATAATCCTTATCTTGAACATTGCTCGTATTGCTGCTCAGCAAAGCGCTCAGCTCGCCCATTTGAGTCTCATCTGCGAACTTGAATAGATTGCGACGCAACATGTGTGCCATTTCCGTGGGTTGCCAGTGAAGGGGCGGCTGCTGTTGTTGTTGTTGTTGGTGTTGCTGTTGCTGCTCCTCATTTTGATGTCCACTTGCCGCATTGCTGGGACGTGTGGCTAGCGTGCGCAGCGGCGGAGCGGGTAGTTTGTACCATTTAAAATTGGGATTGGCATTGAAAAAGGCATCTTTATTCTGCAAGTATTTATAAAAATAAGTCAAATTAAATTATCTACAAACCAGAAAGACAGGGAGAGCAACAGAGTGAGAAAGCAATAGATGTTGTTAGACATATATATAAATCTCTCTTTCAAGCTAAACCGCTCAGATATTAAGTCTAATCAACGTAATTTACTATTTAGCATATATAATTATGACAAAAGGTTTTCTATTTTATTGACTCTACAAATTCAAATTGGAATTTGAATTTTCAACATGTTGCCAGACTGTTTGCCTAAACTATACGGCAATATCGAACAATCGACGTTTTTAGTGCTAAATTTAACTGGAGTACTTTAAATCTTATTAAGCTTAAATGTGCTTAAATTAGTTAAACGTAATATATTAAATGTAACAAAATTACACGAAACAAAGGAAAGAGAGCTTGAGCTGTTTTCCGCAAATTTATATATATGCACATTTTGAATTGCAATTTGAATTCCAATGCAGGTAGGTTGCCAGATCTTCGAATTTAGATTGGAATTCAAATTTAAGGCTGCTAGACATTTTAGCTAAGCTCGGAAAGGAGTTGATGTCCAAAAAGGAATCAATAAGAGGCAAAATTTCCAGTTTTATTGCTCACCTGTTGCGCCAGATCGGTAAAGCACTGCTTCTCCTGCTCGTCTAATGCGGCCCACCAGTCACCAAGTATTTTCGTAATTGCCCTGTTGAATGTATTAAGGATTTTTTAGTTATTTTTTACGTTCAGGTACTTTTAGTATCATCGCCACATTTACCGATTCTCTAATGATTTGTAGCGCTCCTTGACAATGGCGCGATGCCTTTTACAAAATATAAGAAATGCGTTCATGGGTCGACGTGCATGATGCTCCGGTCGCAGATTATCTTGATCGACCTTTGATGACAACTGTTGCTGCTCTGATTCCTGTTCCTTTACTGCTGTTACCGCTGCTACTGTTGGTGTTCCAGTTGCTGTTGCAGCGTCTGCTGAGGCTGTTGTGGCTGCATTTGATGTTGGTGTAACAGTTACAACATCCACTTCCACATGCTCCTCGGAATCGTCATCATTTAGATTATTAGGCACATTTACACGGCTTTGCTTCCGTAACTTATGCAATTTTGCTATTTGCTCGCCCCGCGCACCCTCCCTGTCATCGTCATCATCATCAGCGTCATCGAAATCGTCCTCTTCATCATCTTCCAGTTCATCACTGCTGCTGCTGTGCAGATGCGGATGATGTGGCTGGTGATGATTGTGATGATGATACTGTTGCTGATGCTGCAGCTTGGCATAGTTGTGCACATCCTCGATTTGGCGAAAGGCATTTTCTTGGTCTTCAGTTCTTTGTGGTTGTTGTTGTTGTTGCTGCTGTGGCATTGTCCAGCCATCTAAGACACTTTTGGCTAATGCTGTTGTTGTTGTTGCAATCTTCTGCTGCATATTGTTGCTATTGGACTGTAGATTGACATGTTTCAACTGCGAATCTTTGGTGATTGTTGATGAGGTATTTGCTTTGCCAGGCAAAATGAGTACGGCGTTTCGCTTTTGTTGCTGCTGTTCTTGTTGCTGATGCTGTTCTTGTTGCTGTGGATAGCCCATTAAATGTGGTAAATTCATTAAATAATGCTTTGTATCAACTTCGCTGTATGTTAATTTAAACTTTTTCGCAGTGGTAGTTGTTGTTGCAGCTGTTGCAATTGCTGTTGTTGCTGCTGCTCCTGCTGGTGTTGCTGGATTGGCACTGTTGATTAAATTGTGGTTTTTGTGCTCATTTGTTGCTGCTGGCATGATTTTACTACTGTTGTTGTTGTTGTTACTATTGCTCTTCTTGTTGCAATTGAAATGTAGCTTAGTCGCAGCAGCAGCCGCAGCACCTGCGCCCGCACCTGCCACACTAAAACTGTTGATCATTGTTTATGTGAAATTAAACGCGCCGCGTCGCGTCCTTCTTAATTGCATGGACTATTTATTTATTTTTTGGTATTGCTGCGCCTGCAAAAAGAGATCCAAGTATAAGCAATAATTTAAATAGGAATTTCACAAATGCATGTCACAGTGTTAGTGCATGAATGTATGTGTATGTGTGTGTATATTTGCGATATTGTATACGTGTGCGCACATATGACAGCGCTACCAATGTAGCTTAAAATTTTTTCATATCTGGCAGCACTGGTCGGGCTCTTCTCAGTTGTTTACAAAATAAAATACCTAGAGTGGGTGGCATACGTACGATAAAGAGAGCGATACCGAGAGAGTGAATGGTAGCGCAAGAGTCAGCGCACATATGATATTTGCAAGCGCTCGTTCGCTTTGTGGTTGTGCGTGTGCGCCAACCACTAACAACACCTATCAGCTGTGTGACGTTTGACGTGAACATGCATAAATGTAAGCGTGTGTGTGTGTGTTTGCCATTGGCACTGACGCGCCCGTTAGTCGCAAAACAAAAATAACACATAAATACACACATACAAACATTTTAAGTTTTCATTATATATTATGAAAAATACAGCAACAAAAACAAACGACGAAAAAAATTGTTGATCACTCGATATTGATATAAATTTAATTAACTCTCACTCTCTCTTTCGTTGCAAACTAAGCAATATATGAATGTAAATATGTATGCATGAACAAAGCAGCAATATATTTATGTACATGGACTTGCGTATATATGTATGTAACTGGCACACGGAGAAACAATCGAAAATGCTAGACTTATGTATGAACATACAAATACTTATGGCTTACTTGCATAAATAAAACACACATAAACATATGTACATATAAACGTACACACAAACGAAACGCACAATTGGTAAAGAAATCGAGAACGGGGGAAAACAGCAAAAACACAACTACGCAGCGCGAAAACCGAAGTTTCCAATTGCATTAAATATTTTTCAACACTGACAACAATATCAAACACTGGCTGCCAGCTAGCCAATTATTGCGAATAACTGTTAAGTTGAATTTGACGCTGGTGCCTGCCTAGCTTCACACATGTTAATTATTAATTATTAACATTGCTTGCATTTTTTAGTTTATTGCTCACTTTTGCTTATTCTATGCCCATTGCACAATTTGCTAACTATATTTTGTTGTATTCCTTTATGTGATTGCCTGGCTACCGTCGGATTTCATATAATAAAAACAAAAAAGAAATAAAAATGTGAACACTGCTACGTGTACAGCTGTGTAAGCGTATATGTGTGTGTGTGAGAGCGAGAGTGCGAATGCGCGCAGTTTCTATATGTGTATGTGGGAGATGCCGATGCCGTTGATTTGCCTTTTTCGTTTTCGTTGCGATTACTTTGAACTTGATTGCGTTTGTGTGTGTATGCAAGAGACGTACTGCGCTTAAAGCGCTGCTGTGCGAACGTCAAGTATTTGTGTGTATTTCACTTGGGCTTCCATCTCCATCTAAACAGCGTTGCCACTTGACGCATTTGCACTGTCAAAAGTGCAGCCGCAGCGCACAGCTGTCAGCTGTTACACCGTTGCTTTCTGTATTTGTTGTTGTTGTTGGTTTGTACACGGTCAAGGCCAAAGCGTTGTCGGAGCAACCATTGATGAGACGTTCCCAAACGCGAGGATTGGGGGTGTTTCGTGGCGCCGCGTCGTAACCTTCAAACAAGTTCTCATTCTAAATGCGCTTGTAGGTTATGTTTCACGTAGCAAAATATTAAGGGGGCGTAAGACGGGAGGCTGAGTGCAACAATTTTTATACATATACATATGAATATATATTTCCTGTAATATTTTATACCGCTTTTTAACGCTTTTATTTAAAAACAAAGCGCGAAATACAGTTATATGTAGATATTCAAATGTATATAATACAGTTCCATATTTACACATATACGTACGTACACTCAAACATACATACGTATGTGGAAGCAACTTAAGCATACACACGGACACACACACTGGCACAGAACAGCTGATGACGTTTGTTATTTTGTTCGCGCTGATTATTTTGCAAATAAAAACGGCAAAGCGAAATGAAAAACAAAATGTCGTTGAGTCTTTTTTTGGCGTTTTGTTAAATGAAAACTTAAACATTGAATCTTCGCATTAATTAAAACACCATTTAAAATTTTTCATCTATAAAATAAATTTACTTTGAATTTCACCAATAATTAATCGGTGAATCGAAATCGCAATCAAACTCGTACTGCTCTTGTTTAATTTAATTTCAATGTTGATGATGTCAAATGAGAATGAAAACTGACTGTTTTTGTGTGTTGTACGGACAGTGGCATCGACGACGACGACGACGGCGGCAGAGAAACGGTCGTCGTTGTCGTTGTCGTTGCCTCCGTTTCGTTCAATTGAGCGCAGCAGCAACAGCAACGGCAAAAACAACGAAAATGTATTTATTTTTTGTTTTTGTTTTTGCCTTTGCTTGTGTGTTTGTGCGCCTAGTACAATCGCACAAACAAATAAGCCCGGAGACTATTTTTCTCTCTCTCTCTCTCTCTCTCTCACTGTACATGAGTCGAGCAAGTATATTTGTTTTTGTTCTTGTTGCTGGCGACTCTCTGGCACTTGCGTGTGGGGCTCAGACTCAGCTGTTTGACTGTCTGTTATTGCTGTTCTTTCTCTTCTTCTTCGCGATGTTGTTGATGGAAAATTGTGTACAGCTGATTTTCATATGTAAATTTAAGGAAACAGGAAGAATTTGTATGTTTTCCATAAACAAAATATTAAGATAGTCGTACTGCGGGTTCTCTCTTAGATGCAATGCATGTACTACGTACATACATAAATGCTATATTGCAACAAGTACGTGGTATACAGGGGTGTCTGTGTGTATGTATAAGTATAAATATATGAATATGTGTGCAATGCTCTTTCCCTTTTGACTTTTTGGCAAATTGGAAGCTTCTGCTATTGCATAATCAATTTTAACAATTTTTGCTCAGTTTGTTTGCATTTGCATTTGCCCAGCGTTGCCTACACCAAAGCAGAGCGGCAGCAACCACAACAACAATGTTATTGTTTTTCAAGGTCACACACACATGTACACACCGCAATATCCCCAACACCCACCGGCCATCATCAGTTGAGTTCAATTGTTTGTGTCTTATACCGTTCCTCTCTCGTGCACTCGCGCTCCTCGCTCGATTGTTGCGCTCTCACAAACAAAACTTGCCGGGAGCAAGACACAAGCGTTCTAACCTGCTATCTCATATACCATATACATACATATATTTTTATATTCATGTGTCTGTGGTTTTGTTTGTAGAGCGCACAGTCTACGGTAGGATACCGTTATGCATTAAATGTATGCGTATGCGTGCTAGTTTTCAGGGTCAGGGAAATTCGATTTTTTTGTCGTCGCCAATTAAAGACAATGACAGAACAATCAGTTTTTTTAATTCGGAAAATGACACTCGAATAACACAAAAGTTAACGAACTGTTCTAAGTACACAGTGTGTATATTTTATAGAATACGAAATGAGCAATGAGTGCACGACTATTAAACACCCTAAATCACTCATAGAGTTGTTGATTGAATATTTTTCTTAAGTACACTAAAATCGTAATTTTAATGACAAAGAAATTGCTGAAGTCTCTGCAGTTTTATCACTAGCGTTGCCAAATTTAACGATTTTGGGATTCTTTATTTTAATTGAAAGGTGTGCGTCCATTTTAATTGTGCATTTAAATACTTGAATGCACATATACGTATACATACATACATACATATATGCATTTAATTTTTAAAAATCTTATTAAAGTTCGTTTCGTCGAAGAAATGTACTTAAGTTGAACTAACCAAAAAAATGTATAAATTTAAATATGTAAACAATAACTAACGTATATCGGTCCAGCAACGGAAATATTGAACCAGTGCAAAGTCTAGAAAGGGCATTTACTTGCATACGCATACATTTACATACATAAATGTCTATATATGCATACATACATATGTACTACATATATATGTATGTAGAAATGTTTATATCAATCTGAGTGCATTAAAAAACCGATGATATGTACATACATATGTATTACTTGCGTGTGTTGTGATACACACACGCATAAATAACATGCATACAATTGAATGTATGTGTACGCTACTCACGCATACGAGTTTCTATGCTTTCGTGTTGTTTTTATTTTTATTTCAAGACAAAGAACATACAAAATGATAAGACGGCCAGTGTGATCGACTCGAGACAAAAGGGAGAAAGAGAGAGGAAGTAAGCGTTTTGTAGAATAATTTGTTTTGGCAGCGATAAGAGGGCGGGAATACCAACAAAAATATAAATTAATGATATCGATAACACTTGAGCAGCAGTAGCACCAGCAACTGCATCAGCGTCAGCATCCTATCTCACTCACCCGAACTGCAATTGGCATGCGTTTAGCGTTTGAGCACATCGATAAACGTTTCGTGAGGAACGCGAATATTGGCAAACATGCGCATCTTCTTTTTGCCCTCGGCCTGTTGTTTCAGCAGCTTCATCCGCCGTGTTACATCGCCGCCATACTATCGATAAATAGAGTCAAAGTTCTGCTAATTTTGTTGTAGTAGTCTGGCAACTTACCAGCTTTGCCGTTACATCCTTCCGATAGGCTTTAATTGTCTCACGCGCAAGCACTTTGCTGCCCACGCACGCTTGTATGGCAATCTGTACCATCTGCTTGGGTATGAGATCCTTAAGTTTGTGCACCATTTGACGAGCCACGCCTGTGGCCTTGCTGACATGCACAATGCGACACAATTCCTCGATAGGCCGCCCATTCAAATGTATATCAAGACGCACCAGTTGAGTGGGATGATAGCCATGATCCTCGTAGCTGAAGCTGGCATAGCCAGAGCTAAGGGATTTCAGGCGATCATGGAAGTCCAATATGATTTCGCTTAACGGCAGGACATACTTCATCAATATGCGCGATTCATCGATATTTACAGAGCTCTGCTGCAGGCCGCGTCGCTCCACACACAATCCAATTACCTGACCCACATATTCAGTGGGCGTTATAATGGTGCCCAGGACAAGTGGCTCGTAGTACTCTTCAATGCTGGTCGGTTCGGGCAGCAATGCTGCATTCGATATTTCCAGTGTGTTCCTGCCATGCTGCTTGATCAACTTCGGATTGCGTAGAACGATCCGATATGTTACGGAGGGGGCGGTTATAATAGGCTCAGCGCCATGCTCCTGCTCCAGCCGCTGACAGAAAACCTCCATGTGCAGCAGACCGAGAAAGCCAAGACGCCAGCCCTGGCCTAGTGCTGGACTAGAGTCCACACTGACCGTAACCGCCGAATCGTTAAGTACCATTTTATCAATGGCGCTGCGCAGGGCGACGTGCTTGGACTGATCCACAGGGAAGACGCCCGCAAATACGATGGGTTGCTGTGGTCGATAGCTGCCAGCAGCCTCAGCTGTCTGATGTTTTAGATGTATTGTGTCTCCAATGATTGACTCCTTGCTGTTGCGCATATTGCAACCAACGAGGCCCACCTGGCCGGCCAACAAACTCTCAACGGCGGACTCAGCTGGACGTAGTACGGACAAACTTTTCACGGGATACATTTTTTTGGTGGCCAGCGACTGTATTTCCTGGCCCACATTTAGCTGACCGTTTAGCACATAAATGAGATTCAGTGCCCCGCGATACTTGTCGAACCAGCTGTCGAAGATTAACGCACGAAATGCGCTCTCTCGCTCAACATTCGGCGGGGGGATTGTCTCAATGACACGCTCCAGCACTTGGGCAACTCCTGTGCCTAGTTTAGCTGAAACACGCAAGACGCTATCTGGATCAATTCCAAATAATAATTGCATATCCTTGGCCACCTGGTCGGGCTGAGCATGCTTGATATCTATCTTATTCAGGACCGGCACAACGGCCAAGCGTCGCTGCTTGGCCAGATGGAAGTTGGCCACAGTCTGCGCTTGTACGCCGTGGCAGGCATCTACGAGAAGAATAACACCATCGCATGCGGCCAACGAGCGAGAGACCTGCAAGATGAAATCATATAAATCCCATCATACAACATATCCAAGGCCACAACGTACCTCATTGGAGAAGTCCACATGGCCAGGTGTATCGATTAGGTTTAGCAAATATAGCTCCTTCTTATACTGATAGAATATGGAAGCTGTTTGTGCTTTGACTGTGATGCCGCGCTCCCGCTCCACCTGCAGACTGTCGAGCACCTGATTTTGTCCAGCATTGCGTGCAATGGCACCCGTTAGCTCCAGCACACGATCTGCTAAAGTGCTCTTGCCATGGTCCACGTGCGCAATGATGCTAAAGTTTCGTATACGCTTGACAGGCATTCGACTGAACTCCTGGAGCAGTGCATCTTGCGATAAATTGGATGCTGCCCCTGCTTCTGTGCCCGCCGTGCCCTTCGCCGTTGCATCGGTTTTGTTCTCCAAGCGAACGAAGGTCGTGAATAGTGTGCGGCGCTTCCATATGCCTGGGCCAATTGTTTGCATCAATGTGCGGCATATTGTCTTGTACATTTTGTTGTGTGTTTTCCTATTTACAGCACATTTTATTTTGTGTTCCTTTCAATGAGAAATATGCCGGCACATTCTGTGGATGTTACCGCACAACATGTGAGTTGAAAGCAAGGGCTGCCAACTTATGTCAAATACGACTGATAAGCAGCTCAGCATATGCAACTGCACTACATTCACAATAGATGTTTTAGTATTTTTAAACATAGGTGGCAACGCCGTCTGCCGTTTGACCATATTAAGTTTAAATTAAATATTTATTAGCTAAAGGTACTAAAGGTCAGCGACAAAGCATAGTAATCTTCAATTATTATTAACAGCTCTGTTGTGCTTAATTGATTTTGGACTTAAAGAAAGATCGTATTGAATGTGTTTACAAATTTATAGTCCATTTCAATTCCCTTAAAAATCAAAACTTCTAAATAATTTGTATACGCAAATATTTTTAGAAATTGTATAAAAAGCATATAATATATATATATTTATAGAGGAATATTTTAAAGATTCAAATTGTTCATATACATGACAATAAGGATTCGGTTTAGCTTGAGCTTTAAAATTATTAAGCAATTGCATATTGTGGATTTTACATGTAAGTAAAAATTTTTAAACATAATACATAAAATATTTAATGTATACACGATAAAAATACAAAATAAATGTACATACGATAGAGTAAGTTGATATATATATATATATAGATAGATTATATATATTAGCTCAATAGTTTAACGCTCAACTGAATTTACTTAACTTTAGTTATGAATAAACATTTTACGCACTTTTCAAATAATTAAGTAATTGAAAAGTTTTAATATAACACGGTTGCAATTGATCAACAGATCATTCATCATTATCCTTTTTTTCTTCTCTTACTTTCTTGAGACTAATAAACAGATCAATTATTTTAACATCGGCAGAATTTGTTTGTTTTCTTTTAACTTAAGCTTAAATGCGTTACAGCGTACAAATATAATTGAAAAAAAAAAAAATTACACATAATTCAAATTTGTAATATCGAAGACGTCTGCGTCTAAATATATAATAGGAATACAGTTTGTTAATCATGTTCATTTCTTGATCTTTTATCTTAGGAGTGATATGAAGTGTGTGGCTGTGTGTAAATATGTTTGTGTGTGTGTGTCTGTGGTTCAAATACCTTGAGATTGAATATTCCAGTTTTAAATTGGAGCATATATGTCTGACACAGATATATATCAATAAATATACATATATAAATATATTCGTGTGTGTGTGAGTGTAAAATGCATAACTAAGCGAATAGACTAGCGATCGCAATCGCAACTTAAAAACTGCGTACAAAATATATATATATATGTATCTAAAAAAAAAGGTATGTATGTGTGTGTGTGTATGTGTAGATTGCACAATACGTGCTACGCTCTCTCATCTCATCTCATCTTCTGTTCAAGCTGCTCATTTTTGTGCCTGCATGCGCGCCTGCATTTGTGCAAGCATCTCCTGCATGCGACGCAGCTCTGCCTCCTTCTCTTGCAGTATGCGATCCTTCTCGGATAGCACACTATTTACGCCCACCTGTGTCGAACCATTCGTATCGATGCGATCTGATTTGATGCCATTCTCTTTGCCTTTGATGCCCTTGGCAAGGCGATCGGAACGATAGTTTTCATAGTGCACCTCTTGGGTAACCTCTTGGAGGTCCTGCATGTGTGTGATGAGCATGGTGCGCAGTTTGATAAAATCACAATGTTCCGGATTCTCAACCTCAACAACACCCCATGGATAGAGGCGACCGCGCACCTTTTTCCCCTTCACCTCGAGCAGAGTATTAGCGCCGCAGACGGCAAAAGGCACAGCTTCCTTCAATTGCTTCACTTGCTCCTTGTAGTCTTCATCCTCATCTGAATCACAGTCGGGCAGTGGATATATTTTAATGCCATGGCTCTCAATCTCCTGCATGATGCGGCATTTCAAACGCAATATCTCCTTCTTTGTTAAACAATCGGCTTTGGCAATTACAGGCACAATGTTCACCTTCGAGTGCAGTTTCTTCATGAATTCCACATCGAGAGGCTTTAGACTATAAAAGAGAATTGAATATGAATTTCTACAAACTAGACATATGCTGGCAGTGACATACCCATGTCCGAAAGGCGATATGAAGTAGAAGCAACAATGTATGCGATTGTCCACAATATTGCGACGATTTAGTCCGCTTTCGTCCTGGAGAAAGCGTTCGTATTGCTCATCTATGTACTCGAATATGGCGTTAAAACTATTTGAATTATCGATGGCATCGCCAAAGCCAGGTGTGTCGACTACCGTTAGACGAAGCTTAACGCCTCGCTCCTCAATTTCTACGGTCGATGCCTCCAGCTTTACAGTTTGCTTTTGTTTTTCTGTTTAACACGAATCATTTAATAAGTAATTACCCATATACCCTCATAAATATATCCATATATTGCTTACCTATGGCATCAGGTATAATGCGCTCCGGATATAAATCGGTGAGGAATAAACTGTTTACCAACGTCGATTTGCCCAAGCCCGATTCGCCGACAACCATCAGCGTAAATTCGAAGCCTTTTTTCACGGACTTGCGATGCACTTGATTGGGCAAATTGGCAAAGCCCACATAGCCGGGTGTCTCAATGCTCGAAAACTGCAGCGCAGACAGAAGTAATAATTAAAATCAATTTAAATATTTATTAAAATGTGGTTGAGTCATCGGGTTGCTTATCTATTTGCTGCAATTTCTCTCTTATTCACTCGCACTCCCTCTCTCATGCACTTGCAAGCCAAGCATGACTAGAGCTGCGCTCGTGACACAATACGATATACATATTTGCAAAATATTCATAACCGATTTACAATTGAAGTCCACATAATATAATTTAAGCTTGCGTGAATTTTGAAATTATTTAGATTCAAAGCAATTCTATCTCATTAATAAAATATAAATAGCAATTACAAAATAAACAAAGAAAACAAAGACTGTATAGAAAAATAGAGTTATATATGATCATTTTAATATTGGAGTATTTAATAATTTTATAAACATAACAAGAATATGTGTCTTGTTGCTTGTCGTCGTGCTCGTGTCGAGTCTTGTTGGAAAATATTTGACACGCACCCATCTCTATCAATAACTGTGCAGTTCGTATCTGCGGGGGGCCGGCAGACATCGAAGCCTGGCTCAAAGAAAGTGGCGGCGTTATTTTGAAATGCCAGACACGCGCGAGTTTCTCTTGCATGCCTAAGCCGTATACACACACATAAACATGTGCTGATAAGTACACGCACATATGTATTTATTATTTTTCATATGTATATCGCTATCCAAGTACGTACAAAACAGTACTTAAAGCCATTGACATTATGATCAGCGTGTACATATGCTTTCACATACATATGCATTTACATTATGTAGGTCACAGGCCGCAACAAAGGAAGATAATTCAGATGACGGCGACGCCTTTTTATATGCCGGCTTTAATGAATCATGCACTTTTGGATGAACCAATTTTGAACCTTAAGCGACGATAAATTAAAATGAGCTCACACACAGTACACACAAAACATAGTCATAAGCAAAGATGAATATTTCACTTGATGTGGATTTGCTGCAACAGCAAATTGCACACTACTAACATGAGGAATTTGCATGATAAGCCGCAAACACACATATACAAAACAAGAACGCCATCGTCGTCGCGAGCGGGGATTGAAACGCTCAGTAAAACCGCGCCCTATATGGCATCACTTAGTATTCACGTACATTATACAGTACACACACTTTTGCAATTGTGTATTAAGTATTTGTGGAATTCGGTAAATATTACTTACACCCTTTGTATCAGCCATATTAAAAAAACAAAAATTAAATGACGAACAAAATATGTTGCTCATGAACTGAAATGAACTAGAACCAACACACACTGAATAGCACACAGTGTGACCCGTTAGTACCTATACGAAAGTTACCACATTGTATCGAAAGTAGTGATGTGAAAAAACATCGATGCATCGACAATCGATGTTTTTTTTGGCGATGTTTTCCGATGTTTTCCGATGTTTTTATTGATACCGATGTTAAGCGATGCATCGATGTTTGACAGAACATCGGGCGTTAAATTTCACAACATTGCAGAACATATGGATACACTGCCACATAGAAAAATTCGCGAATTTGTTTTATTTTTTACCCTGTGTTTGCAATGCCAAAGTAAGTAAATTGTTGAAAATATATATAAATATAGTTATTTGCAATTACAAATGTATTTATTCTAGAATAACAACAAAGACAAGCTTTTGCTGGAGGCACTTTACAAAAATTGATGGAAATAGCGCAAAATGCAACATTTGCAACAAAGTTTTGAAGACTGCGGGTAACACGACCAACATGAAGGACCACCTGCAGTCCATTCATAAAATAGAACAAAATGTTGAAGAAATGTTGTTTAAGAATTGAATTAACGAAAAATAACGGAATTAGTAGAAAACATCGATACATCGATGTTTATAGCCGATGTTTTACACAACATCGATTTATCATTTTGCAAACATCGATGAACATCGACATCGAATTTTCGACCCAAATTTACATCACTAATCGAAAGTAATCGAAAATACTTACATAGTAGAAGCGGTTTAAGATATTGTATCTTTTATTTTTGTGCAATAATAATGTGAGTTGGCAGCTCTGTTCTGTAGATTAAAAATATAATACAGTGGCAGCCTTAAACAGATCATATTAAATTATTATTAAAATCATATAAATTCGTTGTGTTAATAATTCATATTTTAATTAATGTAAAAAGTAGTCGCTAATTAAATTTTATATAATTGAATATTAAATTAGTCATCAAAATGAAGTAAAGCAATATATATTTAAGCACTATGAAGAACCGTTAAATTTGAATGTACCAACAAATGTATATTCGAATGTATTTATTTATATATTCTGATTCGATGCGCAACACGAATGAAATTAAAAGGACCAGTATGTTTTTTAACTATATAATTCACATTTATTTCATTTTTTTAGTATATATATATATAAACATATAATATATATTTATATATAATATGTATATCTATATGTATGAGTGACAAAACATCGACTAGAATATGCAAAAATACTCGAAAAATAATAGGAAAACCAACTTAAATTCAAAATGATGGCAAACGGCGAAAGGAATACACATAGATACATACATATAAATATAAATATATATATATTGTGTTTTTGTTTTACGCTTTTGTTTTGAACTAATGCCACACCTCCTGCATTGTAGTGATCGATTATGTTATCAAGCGCGGCGCATGCAGCCCGTGCACATTTTCAATGGGCGGACAGTGGGTGGCGCCCGGCGGACCCCAATCGTGAAGGCCACGCGAATTGGCCAAACGATGCGTTAGCCGATGGGCAATGCTGAAGCCGCCGCTGCCCTCCAGTTGGGTGAGCACAATGATCACCTGCCTATTTGGAAGCGAAATCAAAGAATCATGAGATGTGCCTACAAAATCCTGAATGCCTCCCCTTACCTTTGCAGCGGCGGCACAGAATCCACAGTTTTGAGTTCACCACGCGTTGAGACCACATTATAGCTCTCCTGGCAGTCGCACTTGACGTGTATCCACTTATTTTCATGCCGATTCTCGACCATGACCACCAAACCAGCCCAGCCCTAGAAATGGGAAGACGGTAGTTAGTCGAGTAGTCTAGACAAATCAAATCACTCTGCATACCTTGGTCAAATAGTAGGCCGTCATGCCTTCGCGTCCCTCATGCCTTTGGCCCTTGGTCAGGGTTAAGCTAATGATCGCATCCGCCAGCAAATGAGGCGAAGGCGTTATTTGCTCCACCAGCAAACGCTTGGAGCTGTGTATGGCCAATATGCATTGCGGGTACTGATGCGGATCCTCGATGCCCGTGTGCCAGTGGTTGAAGGCCAGACACACTAGCAAATAGATATCCCGCTCCAGCATCTTGTGACAGCCGACAAAGCCGCGAACCTGCAAACGAACATCAAATGGATGAGGAAGCTGTAGAGACTGAGGGCAAAGATTAAGCAGAGCTCAAGATTTATGTTGATTTTTAGGATTTGCCTGAAACTGAGCTCAGGGCATATCCAGTACCTGTCGCTTGCTATGCTCGACCAGTCGTCCAATCTCTGGCGCTGCCGGTGAACGTGTGCGAAAGATGACAACGCAGAGATCCAATTGGGAGCGCTGTGATTTCTCCGAGTTGCGTTGACCCTCCTGGAAGAGCGTGAACTCCGCTTCGGTGGGCTCCAGCACGGTGAGCAGGACACATGAAATGGAACAGAGGGGCTGCAGAGTGCCCTGCAGACGCACCTCGTTCCAGCCGGAGCGCACTTTGCAAATGTCAATGCAATCGAAGTAATTTAGCACATCCTCGAACGAGATCCAGAAGACGCCTTCGGAGGCGCCATGCGGCATTAGGGCATCGCGCAAATCATCTGTCCACAAGCCCGAGTCGTCGGACCAATCGCCGCGCCACGAATAATGGCCCCAGGGATTGCGTAATTTCAGCAATCGATGTCCCTGTATATCCTTAACATCCAGCACCGAGTAGGCGTGCCGTGGACGCAAACCCTTGTGCTGATATTCCTCCTCATCCACTTTCATGTTGCCGCCGCCACAACTGGCGCCCATCAGGAAGCGTACACAACGCGAGCTCAGAAGCTGAGCCCATATCAAATCCTTGTCCAGCTCATCTTCGCTGGGCATCGGCAGTGAGCTGGCTTGCAGCGGTATACTCTCGCAGGGTGCACCCGTCAACGTGGCCAGGCCCTCGATGGCCCGTCCCGAGACGAGTGCCTCGTAGCAGCCATGAATTTTGGCCACTGCCTTCTCAATGAGCGGCACCCAGAGCTGCTTGCGCTTGGCCTGCGAGTAGACCAGGTGGCCGCGCTTGTCGCACGGCAACAGATCATCCACCAGGACCGTGGTCCATTTGCCATCCTTGCAGAGTCGCACCTGGTAGGCGCCTTGGGCGCATATCTCTTTGGTCACCAGCACCTCCTTCACCAGATCCTCGCGCTCCGCCAGCACAGCCAGGGCGCTCAGCAGCCAGCAATTGCCCAGGACACCCTGACAGATGTCCGACGGCAATGGTGTACGGAACACGGCCCACGGCGGATATGCGCCGCCATCGCAATTGATTTCGTGTGGCCGACGCCATTGCACCACCGGGTTGCCGCCATCGGTCACACTGCTCGCCGGATTGTAGTACAAGCTCTTCGGGGCCGGCGGAAACGAATCGTCGACGAACAGCTCATTGTTGTCCCGGCAATATTGTATGATATTCTGCCATTTGGTTAGTGCCTCTGTCTCCTCCAGCTGGCGCAGATTCTCCATTAGTTTGCTCTCCTGGCGTATTTCGGTGCCCAGCGCCGTGATGCGCATCGATTTGCGGGCCAGCGCTTCGCTGAGCACCGCCTGCATCAGGCCTCGCGGACTCGAGCAAATGTCACAGACAACAGATGCAGCGCAGTTCTCATAGGTGCAGGCGGGACACTGCCATTTCTTGATCGAACTGCCCGGCAGGATCAGCTGTTGCTGCTGCTGCTGCAGATTGTAGGATGAGCTGGCTGTGGGAGCAGGCATGGCCATCGATATGTTCCGTGGCACTATTGAGCCGCCGGTGCTGTGACGCTTCGGTATGGCGCCCGAGGAGCTGCGCTGCTGCTGCAGTTGCTGTTGTTGTTGCAGCTGGATTGCAGCCGCTGCTGCTGCTGCGGCGGCTGCCGATGCTGCCGCTGCTCCTGCTGCCGGCCCACCCACTGCAGCGGCTGCTCCCGCTGCCGATCTGGGCGAGGGACTGCGCGAATTGCGATGCGCCACTGGCGGCAATTGCAACTGCGTTGGCGTCGCCGTCGGCGTATTCAGTTCACCCGCCGTCTGACTGCCAGCCGCCGGATCCTGCTCCTCATAGGACTGGCCATCGGGTCGTTCGCGTATCGAATCGACTGGCAGCAAACGCATCGATTTGCAGGCGCTGCACAGGCCGACGGAGAGCGAATTCTTCAGTGTGCAATGGCTGCAGGTCCAGAATTCACCTTTGCGCAGTGTCATGTCCTCGATCGAGGAGATGCTCTTCAGTTTGGAGCCGCCGCAGACGATGCAGGCCATCGCCGTTGAGTAGTTGACCAGGGTGCACTTCTTGCATGTCCAAGGCTCATCGTTGCGTGGCTCCACAGCAACTGCAAAGGTGGGGAGCAGGAGGAGAGACTTGTTGTCAATCAAATAAACATAGATCAATCAATCAATCATGAATCATGCAATTGATTCATCAATTAACATATATATTCATTCATTCATAACAATCCAGACTTAAAGCAGTTAATTGGTCAATCAATCAATCAATCAGCTCAGCAGTTAGCAGTCTATCAATGTCTGTCAATGATTTTAGCCGCCAGGCAACAAAGCAGATCAACCAATCAATCAATCATGCAGTTCTTCCTGTATTTAGTCATCATAATTGCATTCGTCAGTCTGTCAGTCAGTCAATCAGTTGCTCAATCGCTCAGTGAATTAATAGCAATGTGACTCAGGCAAGTCAAGCCCTAACGATCTGATTCCATCAATCACACGTATCTAAGTTGATCAGTCATCTCAATCAATCAGTCAATCACATTGTAAGCACTTACTGGATGCTGGTAGCTCCGCCTGATGCAGCTGCAGCTGCTGCTGCTGTTGTTGTTGCTGCTGTTGCTGCTGCTGCTGCTGCTTGGCTAATGTCTCGCACATCTCACAGGATTCGGACCAGAGACGATTGTAGGCATAGGAACATTTGCCGCATGTCCACATCTTGCGGCTGCCTTGCAGAAGCATCGATTGCGGTTTATTGTCGTTGCGCGTCGCTTGAACAATGAGGCGATTGCTGTTGCTGCTGCTGCTGGCCGGTGTCGACGCCAAACCAGTTGCT